CCGACGAGCGCGGGGCACTCCCGTCCCTAATTACACCACTGTCGACCGCGAAATCTTATTAGACTGTCGGCTCGTTTTTCGGTGGGAAGAGATCGCCGGCGAACGCTCAAGGCCTTGGAAAACGTTTCGTGCACTACGTCATTCTCGTCTCCTTTTTCTCTCCTTTTTGACAAACTAATCGCGATCCTCCGAGGAGGCGCGACAGAGCTTTTTAATATGCATTACGCCCCGAAATTACCGTCTTAAAATCTCGGAACGCCGAGACGATACTGTTTACTGTTTACCACTGCAATTATCTACTACGCTGTTGTTTATCACCGAATAGATCGAAAGTGGAAGTTCGCACGAAGTACACAAACAGTTGATTAGTAAACAGATTATTAATAAATTGTCGTACGTGTTATCGCGATTAATTTGTCTTGGTAAAAATACACTTAATGTCTCAGAAGCGATAATTGGAAAACTAGATTTTATATTATCTCCAGCTTTTCCTACGTCATTTCAACGTATCGGTATCGGTTTTCTCCTTTGTTCCTGTTTATTCGATAATAAAAGTAACACAATAACGATAATGCAAATAATTTCTATTATTATCCGTACGATAGAGAATCGATATCTCTCGAGTATTTTCCACTTTATAACGACCCGACCGTGTGAAAAAAAAGCTGTAAAGACGTAAAGATATCCCTAAGAAATTTCGCGTCTACCTCCGCGTGAGCATCGGCGCGGTTAAAGAAGAGCAATAAATACGAAACAAAGAGCAAGGTAATAAAATCTCGCCGCTATACGTTCGCCTTGGTAAGCAGACACAGTCGTAACTAGTTACACAAGCTTTTCTCATGTAAGTGCGCCGACGCTGTCGCTGATACGCTAATCGCATCGAATTATTTAGAGCTAATGTATGCTCGGTGTTGCCTCGGGTGGATAAGCAAAGCGAAGGGAAGGTGGTCAGTTTCATTACGCGCACTCAGCAAAAAATTATTAATTACTTACTCCGCGAGCGTTTCCAGCGTTTCTTTCTGTCAAGCTTTAATTTTACAAAATTTCACGCACATCTCTCGCGATTATGATCACAAAGCGACTCGTTTGTAAATGAACATATCACATTAAATTTTCCATTCCATGAAAATATTTTTAATTTAATTATGCATTTTCAGAGGTTCTGCCTCTCTCTCTCTCTCTCTCTCTCTCTCTTTCGTACACGGCCGCCCATGAGATTGTATAAATGATGGTATACGTGCCGGGAAGCGCGGCGACGGCATTAAACACGTGACGCCATCATTAACACGGAACGCATATACGAAAGATTCTACAATCATTACAACCTTCTATTCTTCTCTTTGCTAAGCATACACGGTGACCCTGAATTTTTCTCACGCATGGGTCTTTGTTATCGAAGCGTCATCTCGCACACCTCACTGCTCACAATTACGCGACATTTATCTTCTGCTTTTACGCTAGTACGCCAAGTTCTCAATAGTCGGGGACATATCTCGTGGTGAAATCCGCGTTCAGAAAGGATCTTCCACGTGCGAATGACGCTGCCGGTCGGTGAATAACGTCCTCGCGATTTTGCTCCAGCTTTCAGTCGCGAGAGGATTCACACCTCCGCTTCAACATTTGAATCCCCCAACGATGCGTTATTCCCCGCCCGATGTCGTGCGCTATTCGTTCGTTCGTTCGTTCGTTCGTTCGTTCGTTCGTCCGTTCGTTCGTTCGTTCGTTCGTTCGTTCGTTCGTTCGTTCGTTCGTTCGTTCGTTCGTTCGTTCGTTCGTTCGTTCGTTCGTTCGTTCGTTCGTTCGTTCGTTCGTTCGTTCGTTCGTTCGTTCGTTCGTTCGTTCGTTCGTTCGTTCGTTCGTTCGTTCGTTCGTTCGTTCGTCCGTTCGTTCGTTCGCCGTAGTTCGCGGCTTCCGTAAAGACCGAGCCGTAGTACCGACATTTGCATGGAGCGATTATTTGCATAGAACACGCATGACGAAATCGCGCGATGACGAGAATGCCAGCGACGGTGGAGCGACGCTATCAACGCGATGCGCTGATACCGCGCGCGCTTAGCTTAATCGCTCATACCCGTATTTAGCGCGGCTCAATTCGCAACGCGGAAGTGATTTTCCGCGAATCGGCACGACGACAAATTTTCTCCTCCATTTCGATTTATTTTTATTTCCCAATCTCCACGCGTACCGATTGCCGAAGAACCTTCAATCGATCGAAATATACGGATGTAATTGCTCGAGAATCGAACGCGCGATGGCGTAACGACAAATTTTCTTTCGCATCTCGATTTATTTTTATTTCTTAATCAAACATATCAATTATAAGATCTTCAAAGAGCCGAATGGTATGGCACACGACAGGTGCGAATATTCGCATCGTGGGATGACTGGGAACTTTCGTGACGAAATCGAAGCGACTCGATGCTCTCGTCCCTCTCGTCGTCTCTCGCGTATAATTATATTAAGTTTGACGTTTCGCACCTACGTACGATACCTCTATCTCTCTCTCTCTCTCTCTCTCTCTCTCTCTCTCTCTCTCTCTCTCTCTCACTCTCTCTTCCTGTACGCGTCGCTGAGAGAGTCTACGGCCGGTTATGTGCTGTTTAACATTAGCTGACGAAACAATCGATAAGGCTCGTACGTAAAAGATTCTCTGGCGCGGTACGTCACGCACCTTTCCACGAACGATAAACCTGAGGTGACGTGACGCGTCTCGCGAGAGGCGACCTACGCCGAAATCAACGTGCAAACACAGACGCGCTTGAGACATCCGCCTTTTTGCCCTCAACGAGTCATTGGCGGTGCGCGGAAAAAGTCAATGTTACACGAACGACCGTCCAAGTAACTCCAATGCAAATTTAATCTTTCTCCCTTTCTCCCTCTCTCTCTCTCTCTCTCTCTCTCTCTCTCTCTCTCTCTCTCTCTCTCTCTCTCTATATATATATATATACACACACACACACACACACACACACACACACACACACACACACACACACACACACACACACACAGGGTGTTCATTTGAAAACTTTCCAGCTAATTATCTCGAAAACTATGAAAGATATTAAAAAAAGCTAAAACACGTGTTCCATGATTTCGAAGAGGAAAGAGAATGGCATTGTCAATTTTTTATTTAGAGGGCATTTTCAAGGTCAGTTGAAGGTCAATTTAATTTTTTTAAATTAATTTAATTTTAACAACTTTTGTCTGAAACATTTTTTTATTTACCTATTTTTTGAAATATTTAAGGAAAACTTGGTAACGTTTTCAACATTTAATTTACGATATCTCGCTAATGTCGAAAGAAAAAATAATATTAGACTTCTTTAATTTATTTACTATGAAGAATATATTACTATAATAGTGCCTTAACTTTTGTTAATTTAATAATTTTGAAATTTCCAAAAATCGATAAGATATATATATATATATATATACATGCACACCTCGTCTCTCGGTCGCTTTAATTTACTCGTCTCGAAATCTCGTCTCTAAACCACCGAAACCGAATTCTCTCGCACCCGTGCGGCAAGCACGGGTACGACACGTTGTTACACGATTGCTTTCAACATCTGACCTAGCGGAATTCCGCCCGAGGTCAACCGCGATCGACGTTTCGAAAGCGACGCGTCGACGCTGTCCGAAAAAAAATGTATGCCACGATTGTTCCGCGGTATAATCGCGGTGATTTCGGCACGATTGCTCTTTCACCACGTCCGACGCGGTCAGTCGCGATCGCGTAATCGTTACCGAAAAACGGATATTTACATATCGCGTAAGCAGTCGCGCGGGAGAAGTGCAAGCGAATGAGTCTTAATTAGCGACGGAAACAAACGATTCCGTCGCTTCTGGCGCGGTTCGGCCTACAATCGAATTGATTACATGCGCGCATGGTCCGCATCGATATCGAAGACCTTTTACTTCTCTCCGTCGGGATAGCACCAACTGTTCCGCCCACCAACTATGGAGTAACCTTCGGAGAATCATTTCGACCGGGCTTCAGCGTACCGCGACAGAATACCAAGGTTAATCAATTTCTGCCAGGCACACCGTACGTGGAACATATGTAATCCGCCTATATAACGGAGCTTTAAATATCATATTTGCCATACCGTCAGCGCGCGCGCGCACACACACACACACACACACATGCACATGCAGTTTCACGGTGCGTGAATGTGGCGCGGAAAAGCAAAAGGGCAGGGGGGGGGGTTTCAAATAATTTAGCCAAACCAACGAATCATGGCTAACTTCAGCTGTTAAGCTTACTCTACATATTATACGATCTGTTCAAATATTAATTATCCGGCGGACCGCCGGAATATCCCTTTGTACGACACACACACACACACACACACACACACACACACACACACACACACACACGCACGCACGCACGCACACAGAGAGTCGTCAAATAATTCCGGATACGGCGCTAAAATTGGCGTAATTAGCGTTCGGCCGATCGGAAGAGCGATCCCATCCCGACGAGAGCGCGATACTTCCGACGTTGTAAATATGGACAAGTGCGCGACGCCATATTGTTGAGATTACACGTTCGATGTTTGTTTTTTTAGCGTCGCTGCGATCTTTTCCGGAAGGTCCCGCGCAATTGCACCGACGATACGAAGGACCACATCGAGATGCCCAGGCCGCCGAGCGCCGCCGAGAAGATATTTAACCTCCACTGGAGGTTACAAATCACATTTGCTAGATAACCTCTCTCATCCGGCATCTCTCGCACGTCTGAGCGTTTGAATGTTTCAACGCTCGAGTCGTCGAGTTCCGCGAGGCCGATGCAGATCCGCGAGACACTTTCTCGCGAGAATGTCACCGTCATGATCACGCACCGAGTTCGGGCTCTTTCTCTCGCTTTTTCTCTCTCTCTCTCGCGCGCGCGCGCGCGCTTACGCTTACGGTGATCTGAATTCGTGGAAATTAAACCGGCTCCAATCGGCAGGCGACCGGCGCGCGACGCGCCTTCACGCATAGTCACTAACCTGGTTGAGCGTAGTCGGGATGATATCGGGTGTCTGCGGTAACATCTTGCGGACGTTCTGTTGTGTCGAGCACCTCGAGTCAAAGCGATCTATCGGCACACGCGATCAGTGGCATAATAGATGAACGAGAAGACCGCGGAAAGAAAACACCTTGACGAGAGACACACTGGGATCGATCACGGAGTCGCACTGACTGTCCTTCTCTCTCTCTCTCTCTCTGTCTCTCCCACCAGCGTTTGTTCTCACTCTCTCTCTCTCTCGCTCTCTCCTCTCGGTTTCCGCCACTGTACCGGAACTGAATCCACGCGACACTCGCGAGTCGACACGACCGTCTCGTAGACGCGGCGACGATCAGGGCTCGCGAGAAACCGGCGACCGTCGAGAGAGCTTCTCTTCGTTGATTGCGTAGAGAGAGAGGCGTCTTGAAGCAGCGAAACGCGACGCGTAAACCCCCGCGACAAGGGTGTGCGCGAGACTGACGGGTCCGGGCGGTGTAGCTGCACCCGAGCGCCGCCGAACGCCGCCGAGCAGCGCCGAACGCCGGCGGAAACAGTCGAGCGCCTGTCATCCCCAGCGTACGCGTACGATACCCAACTTCACGGGTAACGACTATCGATAGGGATGACAGCGCGACGCTTCAACGACGATTGATGCGATTTCGCGCGACGGAATAAAGAGTATCGACCGTCTTCGCGGTGCTGCGCGCTTTGAGAAAACCTCGCCGCGATAATTCTGTGTTCCCCCGAGCCGAGCGAGAGTATATAATTGCTCCAGCTGTGGATGGTTCGAGTCCCATATCGATCTTCGACTGTTAATTTTACGCCGTAATCACTCTTTACGTCCGTAGTAAAGAGTTAAAATTACAGTTGACGAGGTTATCGCGCGGTTAATTAACATGTTCCGATGTTTTATTATTCTCTCGGGGAAATGCGGGTTTAACGTACGGCCGAAGGTAATATGCGTTCGCGAGAATTCCTACGCGAGTTCGCTCACGGATGAACTCACCGCGAGGCCCTCGTTTGTATTCGTGGTGTAACGGTCGTCTCGCAGGTAGCATAATGTTCGTATCTGAGGTTGCCTTGCAAATGACAAATTCCTTTCTCCGAGTATACGCTCTCGCGTGCGTCCGCGTGTGCGTGGAGAAGTTATATGTCAGGCCGGCTAAAATTTAACGCGTGTGCGAGATTCTTACCTTTAGCCCGTCCGCTTTACTCGCATTCTTGCGCCACGTACCGTCGTCACATTGTGGCGCTCGCTCTTGAAATTCCTCGTTCGAATGTCCCTCTAGAAAATGCACTCTAGTCATTTCAGGTCAATGCGTGGACGATAGTGCTTTTATCAACCGCCCGCTGGGGATTCACACACACACACACACACACACACACACCGGACCGTTTGTAAAGATGTAAGTAGGAAATGAATGTACGAGGAAAAAGAAGAGAGACCGGGAGTAAACAATTCTTTTGTTTACGCTGACTTGCGGAAACGCACAGCACGGGGGGGAGTCGGGACGGTGTGTGGTGAGCGCTCTCGACGCTTGTAAAGCGCAAAGACGGGAATAAAGGAATGCCGGGAAAAAGTGAAACAAAAAGAGCCAGTTAAAGATAGTAGTAGACCGGTTACGTCAACCGGTCCTTCCAAGGACCATGGCCCATTATATTCTCTTTTCTACGTCGTCTCCGCGGAACGTCTCGAAATGCCAGAAATACAAACGAGTCAAGTATGACAGCATATCTCGCGTTATCGCGTGCATTCGTACGATTGTCGAGCAGCAAGAGTTTACCGCAAACACATTTGCGACGCGGACGGTGCGAAGGTGTGTGAGATAGCGATGCGCGACGTTGCTACAAATGGCAAAAATCGATACGCTCACGAGAAGAGCGCGGGAAGAAGCATTTTGGAAAATGTGGAAATCGACCGGGCGTGGAATTTCCACGGCGCACGCGGTGCCACACCTGCCTCAAGCCGCGATAAGCGATACGGTCGCGTCACGAAACGGGTGAGTCACAGCGAGTGAATCTGTGCTAACCGGTCATTACGACGGAACGACGGCGCCGTGAATGACACGAATATAGCGGCTTTTTCGTCGCTAATGAAATCTGCCAATTCGCGGAGTCGCGAAGACATAAGACGACGATACGACGATACGTATTAACCACCGATCGCAGCCACGATCTTCTGTCACAACTTCTCTTCCCCCCTGCCTCCCCCCTCCCCCCCCCTCCCCGCGACTCGCGCTTATCCCACGAAGATGTCGCGTGCCGGTTCGTTAACACCGCTGTGATTAAAGCCCCGTATGAATAATCAAACCTCTCTTTTGTGTCTCATCGTACGCGCGCATAAATCAAATGATTTAAATTAAAATCCGACTGCCACTTTCCTCGTGCACTTTCTACGACCTACATATTCCGCCTGTGCCAACGAGATCGCTTTTATCCGCAGCCCGTTGAATCAACGGGCTCAACTTCCGGAATAATTCACAGTCGACTTCCACAGATGACCGATTCTAAAGCAGTCTCTCGTTTGCATATCCATCCGTGATGGATACGTTGGTTATAGCGCGGCGGATAAACCGCAGCAAGATCGATTTCCCGGCTGTCGCATTTATACCGTATAGAACCGTATAGAACCGTCCCAGCGATAAATGAGAGAGAACCGGTCCCGTGCTGTATTCAATACTACGAAATGATAAATTCGATATGACGATGCGACGACGTAAAAATAGGTTTGAGTAAAGTTGAGCAAAGGAATAAACAATGTTCGATAGAGTTCCGAAGCGCGTCCTACCGCGGTTGGAGATTACGTGATTACTCGAGGAAAATAATTGTGGATACATGGAATCGCGGAGTCGCTATAATAGCGGCTTGGCGAAACGAACGTATCGGAAGCGTCGTTGCGCGCTCGTCTCGATTTTTCCGTGTCGATTGGAGTGTGTGAGTGAGTTTCGCGTTTCGTTTCCTACGAGCACGCGAACGTCGGTGTCATTCCGAGTGACGGCAGTATTCTGGGGTCTTACGAGTGATGAATAAATAATCTCGAGCCTCCGTATCTTTTTACAACAATGACTTCTACCGGGCGAATAACTGATTGGGCGAATTATCATCCCTTGAAAAAGACTTAGGAATTAAGAAGTGTTTCGTCAAGACCAACGCCCAACGCGACGACGTGACTGATTCTGTTGGAACGAGAACGCGTGTTATCCAAGTGTATGTACTCTCCGGCAACTTGATCGCCGGAACAGCAAAGTGTCTAAATATCGACGCGACGCACTTCGCTCGATAAGCATAAACGTCTCGCGATATACCATCTTGTTAATAACGGAGTCAAGTTCGTCAGTTATAAACAACAAGTTTGGGGATATGGACGTATAATGGATATAAATATTCAATAGATATATAGAGTGTTTAAAAAAGAAGTATCAGTTTAAGGACAGATAGGACTCACGGAATGGAGGAAAACAAATCCTTTTTTTTCTATTTTGTAGGTACTATCCATACCTTCAAAGTCCTGAACCCTTTGTCTTAAATATTGTATAATGCAAGGTATAACGAACCGTGAGATGATGATGATTGGTGCAGCTTCCGAGATTGAGTTTCTTCGAAGTTCATTCGCGAAACGTGAGCAATTCGCGGCGCCCATCTCCCACGTCTCGTTTCCTCTTCCCTCTCTCGATCCCTCTGGCTCTCTGTACTCTCCTTAAAATAGCCGGGGAATTTTCACGAGCTGCCACGATCGTATCCACGTACGTTGTTGCAAACGCCGAGACGGAACATCCTGCAGAAATTACGAGAGGTATAAAACGAGTTTAAATTTAACCCCGACGCTTCCTAACGTCCTCCTTGTTCACGTTACGGCGAAGACGACGCGCTTACCACGCTCATTGAAACCTGCAGCGAAGATCTCGAGTAAAAGCTAGCGCGACGACGCGAGCGTGTGTTTTGTTCGACGGAGAGGAGAGCTTTCCGAGCGACCGTACATACTTTTGAGTGAAGTTAGTCCAAGTCGTGAATACAATCGATGTCATAAAATGTCATACGATGTCACGTTTTCTTGACCTCATGTATGCACGCAGGTTAAGGGCTTGAATTCGGTGCGAAAGAGAATCGAGTAAAAATCTCTCTCTTCTTATTTCGCGACCATGGTCGAACGTAGGTCTTAAAGTAGGATCCGATTAACTTTCGCCGATGAAGGAAGAGAGAAGACGTTTGGAAAGTATGCAACCTTTTGCAGGTATGCGACGCGTCTCAGTGTCGAACAGCTGATGAATATCATTAGGTCTATCGATCGAGATTTAATTCTCATTACTAGTTCGAAATCGTCGCAGCTTGTCTTGATTGAGAGACACGCGAGTTTTCGGAGTAGTCGGATAAATCGAAAATGCCGGAACAATGTCGTAACCCGAGGTGCATCGGCAGCCGAAAGGAGCCGACGTAAGGGGCGATGCCTCCATGTAAAATTATCTAATCGTGCGATGCTCTGCGTCTCTCGATAAGACTTCAACTTTAATGCAGCATCATTGCGAATATTTTCCACGCCTGTCGCGAAACGCGGCATTTCGCGGAGATCCCAATGACTTTGTGAAAAGCGGACGGTTGTAATAGGAATCTCTATGAAATGCCGCGTCATACACATACACATACGCATGCACACACACACACACACACACACACACACACACACACACACACGCAGTGAGCAGGCTTCATGAAATGCCACGTTTTACGATGAGCTTACGACACGAACGTACTTTAACTTCATGCCCCGAGCATTCCTGTTAAATGTTTTCTTTATCATCCGTAGTACTCGTAATCACAAGAACAAAGGGAACGATCGGAAACTGTCCTTAGCGTGGAACGATGGAAATTCTGCGGAGAATTCCCAAACATTGCGAAATAAAAGGACGCAGGATGCGCGGTCAAAGAGGAGCTTGAAAAACGGTTCGACAAATCCCGGCACGTCATACAACGAATCGAAGAGATACAAAAAGTATCAGACAATACCTTTCCGACGGCGGAATTTCTCGTCGTACATCTTAAATCTTGAGATTTATGACGAAATTAAGGAAGAAGAAACGATTGTTGAATCTAAATACGAAAGATTGCCGCGATACTACACGCGAAACGTCGAGAAAGCACTTGACGCGAAATACTTCTTTCAGCAAGAAGTGCCAAGTCTCGCTGTTAACCGCCGAGAATTCGCCTTCGACTTATCTGCCGCGAGAGACACGGTAAGGCACTGAATAATTACAATAAATAACCTTCATGCGCGCACCACTCAATAGCAATCGCAAGACATTCTCCATTTTTGCGCGAGACTAACTTGGCCTTGCTTTCCCCGCGTCCCCGAGAGAGAATCCTTTCTTTCATGCCACTTCAGACTGAGTCAAGCGAATTCCTTTCTGGAATAAAATCACTAGCATCACGATATTCCGATGTGCACGAACGTCGAGTATGCGCTCGGTAAAAGTAACGAT